GAGATGGATTTACTGTGAAGTTAATCGGGGGAGATCAGGCATACAACAAAGACGTGAAGGAGGAGATGAGGGAATAAACCGTGCCATCTCTGAGAAGGAGTGTTCCCGGCAGAGAGACAGAAAACACAGAGGCCCTGAGGTGAGAGTGGGCCTGGCACATTCAGGGAGCAGCAAGGAGGCTAGGATGGCAGGATGGAAAGAGGTGGGGAGTGATGGGGATGAGGTCTGAGAGGTGACAGAACTGGGGAGAGGGGTGGGCAGATCCCATAGGGCTTCCACACTTTTTTTTTTTTTTAGTTATTTAAAGAGGACTACACGGGATAGTTTCGGTTCAAGGGTTGTCATGGATTGAATTTTGCCCCCCAGAAAGTGTGTGTATCAGTTTAGCTGGGCCATGATTCCCAGTATTGTGTGGTTGTCCTCCATTTTGTGATTGTAGTTTTATGTTAAAGAGGATTAGGATGGGATTGTATATCACCCTTACTAAGGTCACATCCCTGATCCAATGTAAAGGGAGTTTCCCTAGGGTGTGGCCTGCACCACCTTTTATCTTACAAGAGATAAAAGGAAAGGGAAGCAAGCAGAGAGTTGGGAACCTCATACCACCAGGAAAGCAGTGCCAGGAGCAGAGCACATCCTTTGGACCCGAGGTTCCTGTGCAGAGAAGCTCCCAGACCAAGGGAAGATGGATGACACGGACCTTCCTACAGAGCTGACAGAGAAAGCGTTCCCATGGAGCTGACACCCTGAATTTGGACTTGTAGCCTACTGGATTTTGAGAGAATAAAGTTCTCTTTGTTAAAACCATCCACTTGTGGTATTTCTGTTACAGCAGTACTAGATGACTAAGACAAGGGTTAAAAGTTGTTTCCAGGCAATAGATTCGGGGGTTCCTCCAATTTCAGTGTATCCAGTAACTCTGGTTTCCCTTAAGAATTTTGAAGTTCTGTTCCACATTTTTTTCCTCCTTTTGATCAAGATCCAACTATTTGGTGCTTGATCAAAACGTTCAGTAGTGGTAGTTGGGCACCATCTATTTCTTTTGGTCTCACAGTAGTTCGTGGGGGCTATTAGACCTGCAGTCCATTTCCTCCTCCTATTCCTGACTCTCCTTCTTTCTTTGTTGCTCCAGGCAAATAGAGACCAATTGCTGTATCTTGGGGGGCTACTCGCAAGCTTTTAAGATCCCAGGCACTACTCACTGAACTAGGAGATAGAGCAGAAACTCTAAAAACAGTATTAGGCCAATTGACTGGAGGACTTTTAATCTAGGGAGATGGGAAGCCATTGGAGAGCTTGGGGCTTTAATGGCATCACTGTGGCTATATTGTTGAGAAGAGACTGAGAAGGGTGGAAGCAGAGAGTCTAGGTAGAAGGCTGCTACCATAATCCAGGCAAGGGAGGATGGTGGCTGGGACCGTGGAGGGTGAGGTGGTGAAATGTGGTTGGGTTCCGGGTATATTTTGACAGTAGAGTCATTGGGATTTGCTGGCAGATCCATTTACTCATTCAACAAATATGTGCCAAGTATTGAAGATGCAGGCATGAATGGAGATGTGGTCCCCTCCTCGGAGGTGTTGACAATCTAACAAGGAATGATAGACACAAATAACTGATGGACTGCTACTTGCATACAGGGTGCAGCTAGAGGAGCAGCATTAAGAATGTATCCTAGATGGGTTCAAAGGTCCTTCCCGGTCAGAGTATCCCCTGCCTTCCCCATCCTTCCAGTTATCTCACCTCCAGACCCCAAGACACCCCAACTCATCCTTCTCAACAGCTGTGTCTACCAGCACTGCCATCACCTCCCTGCTCTCAGGAACCTTCTCTCCTCCCTCGTTCTCTTCCTTACTCCTAGGCCAGTCTCCCACCTAGACTACTTGGGCCTAGAACTCGTTCATTTTACAGAAAAGGAAACTGAGCCACCAAGAGTTCTCACTGAGCCAATGTAAAGGTCTGTGTCCTAAGTGCAAAAATTTGGTTGGAAAAAATCTAGAGGAAAAAACTGAAAGGAACTAGTTTTAAGACAAAGCTGAGCGAAGGTCCCTGGAGGGAAGTGACTTGCCAAGGTCACACAGCTAGTTAGTGGAGCTGCTGGGCTAGAGCAGCTTCCCAGCTCTGTGATCCTCTTTCACTAGCCCATTGATGCTGACTTAGACTCTCCTGCCAGTGAAAACATGCATTTCATAGCTGCAGCATGAGTGCCTCCAGTTAGTCGTGGGGTAGGACTGTTGAACATTCATTGCAGTGAGCCATGGCATACCTTTCCCTGGAAAGCTTTGAGGAGAGACATCTTGCTGGGCTTGCAGTTTTAGGTGCAGTCCTGCCCACGGGCATTGTCCCCAGGATCTGATTTATCTCCGTCCCTGCTCTGATACAGGCCAGTGCTCCCAGGCCAGCGAGTCTTTCTGGCAGGCAGGACCTCCTCAGGGTGGCCTCTTATTTCAGCCTTGGCAGTGGGGAAAGGTCAGCTGGGGGGCCAGTGTGGCCTTGGCTGTGTTCTCTGGTTACAACCCAGGTGGCGGGCAGCCCACTTATCTCACCTGACCCCTGCATCAGCAGCTTCTTGACTCAGACAGCCACAAGCTCTCCAGGCTCAGCAAGGCCTGGCAGGATAGGGGCAGGCTGGAGACTGTCCAGCTAATTCCAGGTGGAGCAAGGGGATGACAGCTCCGACTCGCACCCCTCCCCCTTTCACCCAATGCCGTTTTTGTGGTCTAATCCCACCCAGTGGTCAGGACCCAGCTGAAGGCTCACCTGTCCCCCCAGCCTGAACCAACCTTTCTGAACACACTGTGTGTTCCCTGTCTGTAGCACACATTGGAGTCTGTGTGTGGGCCCATGTCTCTTCTCAACTAGGGGGTGAGCTCTTTGAAAATCAAACCATCGAGTCAGTTCCAACTCATGGTGACCCCATGTGTGACAGAGTAGAACTGCTCCATAGGGTTTTCTTGGCTGTAACATTTATGGAAGTAGATCGCCAGGCCTTTCTTCCATGATGCTGCTGGGTGGCTTTGAACTGCCAACCTTTAGGTTAGTGGTTGAGCACAAACCATTTGCACCAACCACGGACCTCTCTTTCGTAATCTCATTTACAATAATGAGACATGAGATGGCTCTTTACGGTTTTCCCTGAGCTTTCACACGCAGCATCAGCCTCTAGAAGGCTGGGCACATGGTAAGCACTCCTGATCTGAGTTGAGGGTCCTTCAGCCTCCTCTCTGGGCACACTCAGCATCCCCACACTTATTTCCCCCATCCCCCTGTTGCCCACAGACAGGACAAGCAGTCTTGTATCATTTAGGAGGTGACGGGAAGTTGTGGGAGTTGCTCTGGGGAATGGCCAAGGGCCAGTCCCCTCTCAGCAGCCTCCCCACTGTGCAGAGGGCCTGCAGGAGAAGGGGGGAGCAGAGAGGAGGCTGTGTATCTGCTGTAGGGTGGGGGTATGGGGGTGGCCAGCATGGGATGAGGAACGATACTGGGGGTTGAGGCAGGCTCTGAGAGGGCTCCCCAGGCTGTGAGCTGACCAGAGGCCCGTGGCCCTGTCACTCCTTGTCCTCAGGTTACCAGTCCCGCCAGCAAGGACTCAGCTTCCTCTTGCTGCTGGGAGTTCCCTGTGATCCAAGGAGGGCAGGAGGGAATTCGCGGCATCCTCACTCCAAGTACTCACTCAAGGTGGGCAGAGGGTGAAGAAGGGCTCCTCAGAAGAGCCCCTCAGATCCTACCCACTTCCTCACTCCTAGCCTTTATTATTATTGTGTTTTTAGTGGGGGAGTGCCCTGTGTGAGACAGGAGGGTGTCCACCTTATCCAGGGATTTCCTTTGGTATTACAGAAAATGATGCAGGGATGCCTGTGTTCCCCAGAACAAGAGGCAAGAGGCTGGACTGGGTGGTGCCCAGGGTCAAGGGTCTCACTTCACGATCATTCTAGTTTACACTGGCTCAGAGACCCCTGGGAAGCAATTCATCCACTGCCCTGGCACAGCTTTAAGGGCATCTTGAAGTTAGGTTTCTAAAGCCGAGCCCTTGTCCCCAGGAGAAACGCACTTGTGTGTTTTCTCCTCCTAAATAAAGGCCATGGTAAGAAGGTGTAGTGGTCCATGGGAGCTCTTCAAAGAACTAGGCTCCTCCAAGTGCACAGAATACTCTTACATAAATGTTCATTTAGTGCTATATGCAACAACAAAAAAATTGGAGACAGTTACATTGTTCATCAGTGGGGGCCTGGCTTAGAACTTTACAGTATGTCCTTATGATGAAAGACAGTGCATCTATTTTCAAAAGATTTCAGCAGATCTGTGTAATTGACAGTGAAACAGTAAAAGGCGTCTAATGTATTTAAATGGAAAAAGCCATAAAACAGTATATAGCTGGTTCTTTCATTATTGTATATATATATATATATATATATATGCATACATATAAACACATGCGTATATATATAAAACCATTTGCTGTGGAGTTGTGTCTGACCTATGGTGACCATATGTGTGTCAGAACTGTGTTCCATAAGGTTTTTTGTTTTTTTCCATGTCTCTTTGTTCTCCTTTAATCTGAAGTATTTCTTAGCCTTTGTCTTTCATGACACTGAGGGTTTTGAGCAGGGTAGGTCATTTATATTGTAGAATGTCTTTCAATTTGTGTTTGTCTTTTTCCTTATAATCAACATTCAGATTATGTTTTTTTTTTTTAGTTTTATTTTATTGTTGTTATTGAGAATATACACAGCAAAATGTATACCAATTCAAGTTTCTACTTGTAAAATTCAGTGACATTGATTACATTCTTCCAGTTGTGCAGCCATTCTCACTCTCCTTTTCTGAATTGTTCCTCCCCAATTAACATAAGCTTACTGCCCCCTAAGGTTCCCAGCCAATCTTTCAAGTTGCTATTGTCAGTTTGATCCCATATAGATAGTTCTTAAAAGAGCATAAAGGTCAACTGCTCCCCAACCTTTTGTCCTTCTCCTCCCCACTGAGAGGTGTTGGTGTCTCTGCAGGTCGGAACGAGCTGATTGCCCGCTACATCAAGCTCCGGACAGGGAAGACCCGCACCAGGAAGCAGGTGGGCCTAGGGGATGGGCAGGGGCCCTAGCAGCAGGTACCCCAGGGCCAAGCATGGACTCTTGGGGTTGGGCCAGCTCGGCGTGGGTTGTCTCTGTTTGATGTGCCACAGATGGTCCAGTTTCCCTGGGGTCCTTGCTACCATCACTTAGGAGAGACCCTTCACCTTACTAGGGAGTCATCAACCTCTTCCCCATCCTCTCTAAGACACCAGAAGAACGGAGAGCAAAACCTTGGTGCTACACTTTTGAAAGTAGGTTAGCTGGATAAAGCAGGACTGAGGGTCTACTGAATGACTGAGCCTTTCATTCATTCATTCAGTCCACAGATGTAGGAGGAGGGTTGAGGGAATGGGGGTGGCCAGAAGGGGAGCACAGGCAGTCTGGGAGATAAGACAGGAGCCCTCTTGCCCGTGCTACAGGTCTCCAGCCACATCCAGGTGCTGGCTCGTCGCAAAGCCCGAGAGATCCAGGCCAAGCTAAAGGTAAGGCACACTTCGGCAGTGGGCGGGAGGGGCCTGGGCAGTGGTGAGGCCAGGTTTCCAGAAGGTGGGGTTCTTTTTCCAGCAGGAAAAGGTCTTCCCTTTAGGTTTGGGGGCTGGCTGCTGGTGTGCAGAGTCAGGTTGATTCAGCACGTAACTGCTCTCGTGTCTGCACAAGGAGGGTCACCTGACCTCAGAGCCGTGTGTGTGAACGCCAGTCTCCGCAGCATCCTGGGCAGCTACAGGCCAGTCTCCTGCGGCCTGCGGCCCCCCCACTGGCTCCAGCTCAGGGCAGGAGGTAGGGGGCAGCGCACTATCCCGAGTCACATGGACATGGCTCCAAGCAGCAGGGATCGCCCTCCAGGTCCTATTCCTTGATGGCCTCGAGCCTCTGGCCCTCTTGGGAGCCCCTTAGTGCCATCACCCAGAGCCTGCAAGGCTGACAGGGATAACAGGCACTCCCGTGGGTGGGGTTTGGTATTGCAGGAGTTGGTGAAATTCCTTCCAGCCCCTTGCTCTCTAAGGCTGGCAGGTTCTTCCATGCCCAAGTCAGACTGCTGTAGAGGGCCTGCTGCCTGGGGGTTCCCCTTGGGGTGGCCCTGTGCCCCACAGGAGTCAGGCCTGTTGGATCCTAGAGCCAGGGGCCCTTCTGGTGAACAGTAGGAGGGAGTGACTTCCCCATCGAGGAGGTGCTAATAGCAGAGTCTGCACATCTACTTAGTAGGAAGATCCAAGATTGGGGCATTAGACTAGATTAGTAGTTTACAAACTTTTTTTAAAGCAACAGAGGCCCTTTTTTTCCCCTCAAACAATATCTCCCCAGTGTGCTAACAGAGGAGCTGCTCTGGTCAAAGCTAGGTTGGCGAGGACCAGGCTGGAGACCCCTCCTCCCATTCAGCCCCTTGTACCCCATGGCACTGGGGGCCCCTCCCCCGTACCCTACAGCACCTCAGAACCCAGTTTTAAAGCCGCTGGATTAGGTGACCTGTAAAGTCCTGTCCTGTCCCAGTAGTCCATGATCCTGACGCTGGAGGCCCAGAATGAGTGAGTGGGAACCACAGACACCTCTGCCTCCTAGGAAGCTGCACCGCACTGCCCACACCCCAGCTGTCCCCGACCCCCACAGCTGTGGCTGGCACCTCCCATCTTTGTTCCCGGGACAGCTGGCTGGGCTGCAGCTGTCAGTCCCTCCCTATCAGCTGGCACATGTGCCCCAGAACACCCCTGGCCCTGGAGCCCAGCTTGCCCCTCGTTCTTGCTCTCTGGTCTGCGTCTGATTCACTGGAGACTACAGCAGGTGGCCGGTGTGGAGGACAGACGTTCCAGTGTTCCGTTCGTAGCCCTCGAGGGAATTTCTAATGTGCAGCCCATGTTTGTTTCAAGGAATCACACCTATCCTTGTCCACAGGTTCTCACTTGAGGCTCAAGGATAGCCTCAGTGGATCACTAGCCAGGCATGAAGGGAGCCATGAGGCCCTTAAATGATATGCAAAGTTCGTGTGTATGTGGCTTTCCTGGGGAGGTTGGTCTGAGGCCTTTGTTATACTCTAAGTAGTCAGGGACCCTAAGTAGTTAGGCTCCCTGGCCGACAGCAAGGTCAAGTAGAACTCCTTGGGGTCTGGAGCTTGAGTCTAGCCCTGGCTCTGTCAATGTAACTGTGGGGGCTTGAGCCAGACACGGAACCTACTTGGGCTCCATTCAGTTTCCTCATCTGTAAAATGAGAGGAGGGTTAAGCAAGGTGGTATCTGAGGTCCCCTCCAGCTCCAAAGTTCAGTGGCTCTTTGGCTCTGTAGCCTGGCTGCTGCCGCCACTCCCCACGATGTCCTTCCGACTCATTCCTGATTCCTGCCCCACCCCGCTGAGGATGCCATTTCCTGAGCCAGGGTTGTTTGTTTAGACTGGCTCTCTGGGAGGGGACACAAGCTGCTGACACTGAGCGAGTGGAGCTCTCGGGCCTCATAATGTGTTGCTAATCACGGAGGTCTGCAGGCGTTCTAGGGATATGGCCTGCTATGCCATTCCTGTCCTCCTAGGGGGAGAGGCCTGGGAGCTGGCCTCATCGTGTTTGGCCTTCCCCTCCCCTGAAAAGTACAAGTGTCCTTGGGAAGAGGATCCCACCCACCACCCTTTTGGTTATCAGAGATAGGCTCCAGATTAAGGCCCAAGTCTGGCCCTAAATTGATAATGGGAAGGGGGCCAGGTAAGGGGCCAGGGCCAGACCTCATCTACCACACTGTTTAGTCTAAGTTGAGGATGAACCCACTGCTCAGCATGGTCTCCTGTGCCTCTGGTGCATTTGCCAGGGGCTATCAGTCCTGATGTGACCCCTCTTTGGTTTGCACAGCCCCGTTGGGGCCTCCAGAGGCCCAGAAGTAGTTGATGTGCAAATCTGGACCAAGCTCACAGGGCTTGACTATCACCACTGTCAGCACCCTAGTCACATAAATTCTCTGAGCCTCAGTTTCTTCATCTTTAAAATGGGGATCCTGCTGGTCCTCCAACCTCACAGGAGTACTGTGATATTCAGAGGCAGAGTGTGACAGCCTACTTGAAACCTTCTGTGGCTGCCTCGTGCCACACGGCATCAGTGATCACCTTGAGGGGCTGAGGGGAGAGTGGAGGGGCCTGTCATGTTCTGGCTGCACAGCTGCGCAGCACCGAGACCCTGGGTGGATACTGAGACTCTTCTGAGCCATATGTCAGCTCTCCATCACTGTGGAAACAGCCAAAATAGCACCTCCCTCACAGGACTGCTGTGTGGACCGAGTGGAATAATTATGCAGAAGTGCTTGTAAGCTGCCAGAGCTCAACGTTTTTATCACTCAAGGCAGATCTGGGTCTACCAAGTTAGCTATTATTAATTATTAAGTAATGCTTAATTAATTTTTTCCATTTTAAAAGATTCATCACAAAGATTTAGAATTTCCAGTCATAGCTTCTGAGCTGACATGATTCACCCATTTAGCCCCCATAAAGCCGCACACACTTAATAATACTTGCTGTTCTGGTGAGTACGTGTGGCCTTATTTTGGGCAACGACACGATTTCCTTTAGTTGTTTTGAAATGTAGAATATTTCATTAATTTTGGAGACTTTTGGGGTTGGGGCACTCAGGATGAGAACCACTGGCTTATATAAGTATAAACAATTATTAATTATCCCCAATGTCATAGAAATGACTTTCCTAGATGCCTGCTTGTTCTGGGCCTGTGCAGGGTGAACCCATTCTTTGGAGTCTTGAACACAAGGACGGCAGGTAGTAGGTATTTACATTCTTACATGGAAAAGTAATTGAGGCCTAGGGGTTCAAGAATTGAGACAGGTAGGGCCCCAGGAAGTCATCCCTTGCCTACAAACAGTTCTTCTGACCCAGGATGATCACTCCTGTCCATTTCAGGAGGAATCCACCAAATATTTATGCAGCATCTATCATAAGCCAGGTGATGAGCTAGGCACCAATAGTACAGTGCTGAACGAGACATAGAAGATCCTTGTTCTCAGGGTATCCTCATGGTTAGTAAAATGAAAGATATGGTCTGGAAGATGGTCTCCAAAATCTTTTTTTGAAGTTCTAATAAAATAGGCAGCACGAGTATTATGTCCCTTTGACAGATGAGGAAACAGATCTAGAGAAAGCAGGTGGCTTGCTCAGAGTCACAAAACAAGTTAACGGCAATGTAAGGACTTACAGCCTGGTCCCCTAGGGCCTAGTTCAGGGCCCTGGCCTCTGTAGCAGGAGGACAGCTTCTCTGACCACAAGCCCTGACCCTGCCTCACCTAAGCCTGACATAGTGACCACTGCTGAGGTCCTCCCTTCCAATGTCTTCCCCCAGGATCAGGCAGCTAAGGACAAGGCCCTGCAGAGCATGGCTACCATGTCGTCCGCCCAGATCATCTCCGCCACAGCCTTCCACAGTAAAATGGCCCTTGCCCGGGGCCCAGGCTACCCAGCAGTCTCAGGGGTAAGTGGGGCTGCCTAGAGCCAGAGGCCAAACCAACTCTCACCTTCTCACCTCTCTCCCTTCTGAAGCACTAGAAGTTTTGGCTAGTCCAAATTTCTCTCATTTGAGTCCTCTTAGGCCAGGGGAGCTGGGGGAAGGAGGGGCCAAGGACCAAGTGACCTTCCTGAGTCATGACTCAGCTGGTAGTGGAACCACCCTCTTGGGAGCTTGGCAGTAACAAAGTAAACCTTTCACAAGGAACGAAGGGGCCACCTCCATTAGATGACCAGCTGGGTGGCTCTACAGAATTAGCCCAATTTACAGATGAGGAAGCTGAAGTCCAGAGGCCTGAGGATTAGCACAGCTCCAGTGTGTCCCCGAGTAGCCCTCCACCACTCGGCCTCACTCCCCACTCCTTCCTCTCAAGAGGTGCTCTCCTTCCAGTTGGAGAGCTGACATCCAAGAGCAAACCTTTGTCTGGATTTTAAATTTCTTGGCCATGACCATAGGGGCTACACTTTCAAAATGGTATCCAGAAAGGCTCTCCCTGTCAAGGGCTATGTCCACAGGGCTTTCTTGGCTTCTTGAGACTCGATGGGTCTTTAAGATGTGTGCACAGCTCTGGGCACATGGGGAAGGGGGCAATGACAGGTCCTGTCCTCAGGGAGCCTCCCATGTAGCATTTTCATAGTGTGTTCCAGAGACCACTAGTCCACCAGGATGTTAAATAGAAATGATGCAGAGTGATTCTGTGGCTAAGTAAATTTAGGGCATTGTTAGAATTTAGTAGATGTCTGACTCTAGGACTTTTCAGAGCTGAAGTGCTGATGTGCACCGTGACTCTGTCAGAGAGGAACACAGTACAGTGTTCACCAAGTCCGCGTGCTTTTGCTCCAGAGCGTTTCCAGAGACCAGGGTCCTATAGGGTCACTGTGAGTCGGAATCAGCTCAGTGCCAATGGGTTTAGGGTTCCTTGAAACACACTTCGGGGATGCTGCACTAGCTATTACTAGCCAACAGCATTGCCTTTTTCCCCCTACCCCACTGCCTTTCAGCCTCAGTGCCCCTCTGAGCCCCCGGAGCAGCAGGGCCGCCAGCCTGGGGCAGCTTGGGGCTTGCAGCCTTCCTTTCCAGCCGAGATCACTGCTGTTTCTTTCCACACTGTGGGACCCATGTGCACATGGGGCTCTGCTGACTCTGCACTTTTTGCCTCCCCAGTTTTGGCAAGGAGCTTTGCCAGGCCAAGCCGGAACATCCCATGAGTGAGTATGGCCTGATTTTTGCTGCCACTTGCTTCCTGAACTGAACTTGAACCCATAAACTCATGAAATTGAGCCTGGCCCCCTGGGTGGGACAGGGCCGTAGTCTCGGGTCAGCGTTTAAGGATAGCCTTGAGCTTCGGGATCAGGATCTCCTGCTCTCAGGCATCAGTTGACACTGTCTGGGATGTGGACATGCTGGGGTACATTTGTCTGAACTCCAGTCGGTCCAGGGCCAGCACTTAGGACCCAAAGGGAAGGAGACTAGGAGTCAGCCTGCTGGGCCACAGGGCTGGCATGGGAGGGAGGGAGAGGTGAGTCTCCCCAGTAGAAATGCTATTTCCTGAGGGAGTTGGCAGGGAGGGAGCGGTTGACCAAAGCCCACCAAGGTCACTGATCACCAGACCACCCGGGCCTGTCACGAGGGGAACACTGGACCCTGCTCGAGGCTCCAGGGCTGCAGTGTGCCCCACAGTTTACACCTCCTCTCTCCTGTCTCCTGCAGTGTGAAACCTTTCTCTCAACAAACCTACACTGTCCAGCCTCCGCTGCCTCTACCAGGTGGGTCAGCTGGGCATGGCTCCCTCCTACATCCATACCCCTGTGGCAGAGACCCCTCCTCTAGATGCTTCCCGGTCATGTGGTCAGACCGTACCACCCAGTCTCTTGGCTCCATCCCATTCCTCGCTCCTAGCATGCACATCACACCTGTGAGAGCCGCTTTGTGCCCCTTGTGTTGCCTTGATTCCTGCCCCCTTCCCCAGCTTGGGCACAGGGCTTGCAGGGGCACACATAGTTCAAAGGGCCATGGCTATGCCCTGGGTGGCTGCCCCACCTGGCTGCCCTTTGTGTGCCCCTGAATACCTAGGATGCACTCTGTCTTGGTGACACTATAATCCTCTCCTTCAAAACTGGAGGCCCAAGGAGAGCCCAACTTTTTGGCTTAGAGCCCCTCACTAGCAGAAGGAACCCTTCTGGGATGAGGCCTGGGACATTGTTGGGGTAGACGAGCAGAGCTCCGGCAAAGGGCAGGAAGGCTCAGGCAGCTGTGCCAGCCACAGGAGCCCTCCCTTCTCACTGCCCAGGGGACCCAGCTGTGCCCTGGCCTCTTCCTCATGGGGGTCCTGCAGCACCCTACACTCTGGAGAGCAAGATGAAGCCTCTCCCTTCACCACCTTTCCTGGCTTGGGGGATGACTACGTGCCCACGTTCTGATACCTGGCCACTTTGCGCTTTCCCTGCCTCTGTGAACAGCCCTGCTACCCTCTTGGATTCCTGACTGCTGATTCCTCTCATCCCCCATGTCCAAACAGCACCAAGTCCTGTCCAATCCACCTACTCTCTGTCTCTCTTGTCCACACTGACACAGTCTTAATTCAAGCCCTCATTCTTGCCTGAATAACTGCACCCTCCTCTTAACTGGCTCCCTGACTCCAGTCTTGTCTCCTATCATCACCCTATAATTCACCAAAGCGATCTTTTTAAAACATTGACCTCACCATGTGGCTTCTAGGCTTAAAATCCTTTAATGGCTCCCCAGTGTCTTCAGATAAAATCTAAACTGCATAGAGAGGACTGACACGGTTCCTCATGTTCACTTCAGCTTTCTCTATTCTCCCTTCAATCCTTCTATCCCCCCACTCCCCACATGACCTAGGCTGTGGTGCAGCCATTGCTCCCTCCAGCAAGTCTCCTCTAAACTGCCCCTCCCCGCCATGTTAGGTGCCCTGTTTGCCCTCCCAAGCACCCTGTGCACACCTCCATCTAGTGCTTGACACTGTGTATGGTCATTACCTGTTGTGTGTCGAGGCTGCGTCTGTGACTTACTGTCTCTGTCTTTGTGTATCCTGTGGTACCCAGTACGCAGCAGTTCGCAGTAAGCATTGGTTGAACAAATGAAAGAATGATTCAACTGATATGCATTTGTTGTTGTTCATTGCTTTTGAGTCGATTCTGACTCATGGTGAGGGTAGAACTGTGCTCCATAGGGTTTTCAAGGATGTGACCTTTCGGAAGCAGATCGTGCCTTCCTTCTGAGGCGCCTCTGAGTGAGTTCACACCACCAACCTTTCTGCTGGTAGTCAAGTGCTTAATTAACCATTTGCACCACGCAGCCGCCCTGATATGCATTGAGTGCCAGCTAATATGGTGCAGGCCACATCCCAGGGAAACTCTCTTTACGTTGGATCAGGGATGTGACCTTAGTAAGGGTGTTATACAATCCCACCCTAATCCTCTTTAACATAAAATTACAATCACAAAATGGAGGACAACCACACAATACTGGGAATCATGGCCCAGCCAAACTGATACACACATTTCTGGGGGAACATAATTCAATCCATGACAGTCCTCTGCCCACTTCTGTGACTGTTCCTCCTCAGTTGCTTTCCTCCACATACACCTGAGTTCCCTGCCTCAGCACATGGCACCACCATTCGCCAGCCTCACACACCAGAAAACTGGGTGTCCTCTTCAGCATTCTCGAACTGGTCTCTCACCTCCCTTCACTCACGAAGTCCTAGGGTTTTACTCCCACCGTAGCTCTCCTATCTGTCCCCTCTTCTTCACCGCACTGCCTGCTTTAGTTCAGGCCTCCTTCATTTTACCACTTGAAAAACTGCAAGGTCCTTGCTTCTGACCTCCCCGCTACCCCTGCCCAATCCTCCTTCCTCCACACTGGAATGGGATCTTTTGAAAATGTGAATCTGACCATTTCACTGCCCTACGTAAAATCCTTCAGTAACTGCCCTGAAATCTCAGGATAAAATTCATACTTCTTAGCTTAGCGCCCATAGCCTCTCTCTTTAGCCTCATTTCTTGCAGCTGGCACAACCTGAGCTGTTTCACAGCCCCATAATTTTGCCTCTGCTGTTTCCTCTGCTTGGAATGCCCTTTCCCTGTCTTCACTTGGTGACCTCTTGCTTGAATTTCATCACTTCTTCCAAGCATCACCTTCTTTGGACAACCTTTCCTGACCACCCACCAGGTAGACTAGGTACCCCTCTTCTGTGCTGAGTGCATATCTTACCAGTTTTTATCACATCCACAGATTCATTCATTCATTGTTGTTGTTAGTTTCCATCAAGTTGATTCTGACTCGTGGCTACCCCATGTGTGCCGAGTAGAACTGCCCCATAGGGTTTTCAAGGCTGTGACCTTTTGGAAGCAGATCGCCAGGCCTGTCTTCTGGGTGGGTTGAACCGCCAACCTTTCAGCTAATAGTGGAGCACTTAACCATTTGCGCCACCCAGGCACCCATCATTCATTTATTAGCCAATCTTTATTGAGTGCCTGTTCGGGGCCAGGTGCTGTTCTAGGTGCCAGGGATACAGCAGTGAACAAAACAGGAAACTTGCTACTTTCGTGGGGCTTACATCATATTGTAATAATCGAGTCATCTCCCTGACTGGACCAGAAGCTCCTTGCGGGCAAGAACCTAATGGCACCTGCTCTGGAAGCCCTTTCATTCCAGTAGGCACCCCAGGCGCCTTGCAGAATCCAGTCCCTCAAGTCCTGTGCAGAGGCCTGAGTGGACAGAGTCCTGTCAGGCTACCCCTCCCTGCCAGCTTCTCCTGGACCCTCCAGCCAGTGCCTTGCACTTGTCTCCACTCCCGGGAGGCCCATCTGGGGGTGACAGGAGATCCCCCAGCCAGCATGGGCTCTCACGGGTGGGGCCTGGGGTCCTTGCAGAGGGTGTCAGCAGGTGGGCTCTGTGGGTTGGCTCCCATGTGCCTCTCCTGTGTGCAGGGTTCGAGTCTCCTGCAGGGTCTGCCCCCTCGCCCTCGGCACCCCCTGCACCTCCGTGGCAGGGCCGCAGCGTCGCCAGCTCCAAGCTCTGGATGTTGGAGTTTTCTGCCTTCCTGGAGCAGCAGCAAGACCCTGACACGGTAGGTTCTGGCCTCGCGTGGCTGGCTCTCCCTCCCTCTCTTCATTCTTGGTGGCTTCTCCTTCTCTGCACCTCTTTTCTACCTGCTTCTGGCTTTCCTGCCCTGCTCTTCTCTCTACTTTTGAGTTTAATTTAGGTTTCCTGGTCCTTTCCAGTCAAGGTTCCCTTGACCCTTTCCCCCCATTTTCCTTTCCTCCCTCACTCCACCTTTGTTCCCTCTGTCCCTTGCACTGTATATTCCTCCCATTCCAGTGCCCTCTCACAGTTTCTTTTCCTCACCCCAGTTCTCTCAGGCAATTTTCCTTTCCTTGTCCACTCTTTTCCTCTGCCTCCCAGTCCTGCATCCTATGCTCCATGTCCTTTCCTTCCAAGCCAACCAGTCTTAGTCTGCAGTCGCTCCCATCCCAGCCCCACCCCCAAGCTGTTCCATCCCTTCCCCTGGCTCTGAGGAGCAGACAGAAAGCTGAGGAGCCTCCTGTGTCTGATCTACATCTGATGGGACGCAAACAGGGAGCAGCAGCCCCCCACCCCCCACCCCATCCCACCCCATCCCGTCCCATCCCGTCCCATCCCGTTTGGCTCAGTGTCCTAGGTGACCAGCATCACCTGCAAAAGCCAGCATCACCTGGAGGAGGCCAGGCTGACAGGATATCACAGCTGGGGGAACTTCACAGATCATCTTGCTCTGAGGTTTTCCAACTTATTTTTTAGCCGAGGAACAAATTTTTACTCAGAAGCTCAGTGTGTAAAACAAAAGAAAGTTTCTTTGGTTGTAACAGGGTGCCTATGACCCCCCTCATGCTCCCTGTCTCCGTGGGTAGAGCACAATTTGAAAACACCTAATTTAGGTCAGTGGTCTTACATCACAAATGAGAAAATGGAGGCCTAAAGATACAAAAATGACTCGTCTGAGATCATAAAGATATGTAAATACTAACTGCAATTTATTGAGCACCTAGTACATGCCAGGCACTGTGCTAGATGCTTTATACCTAGTAACTTTTTTACATTCAGTCCCTTTACTGTATTCATTGTACCAGTGGGGACCTTGAGGCTCAGAGAGGTACTACGTTACTTGCTCCAGGTCACACAGCAGATGAAGGCCGGAGCTGGGATTTGAGCTCTGTCTGTCTGTCTGCTGTTTCCACCTCTCCCTCAGACCTGCTCTTCTCTCCACAGTACAACAAACACTTGTTTGTGCACATTGGCCAGTCAAGCCCAAGCTACAATGACCCCTACCTCGAAGCTGTGGACATCCGCCAGATCTATGACAAATTTCCAGAAAAAAAGGGTGGACTCAAGGAGCTCTTTGAGCGGGGACCTTCCAATGCCTTTTTTCTCGTGAAGTTCTGGGTAAGCTCTTTGATAAACTCTCCCTTCCTACCCCCAGCACATCCTGATAGTGAGGAGAAAAGAGCAAGAGTAGGAATAAGGTACCCTTTCCATGGTGGAAACTTCGGGAGGGTTGGACCAGTGAGGAGAAGGGGAGGAGCAAGGACAAAGTTGTCATCCAGTGGTGGAAGCTGAGCAGTGATACCAAAGAGCTGGGCTAATAGAATGAGGCCTCTTTCTTCTCCTAGGTGGCAATGGCAGCCAAGGCTTGTGGGGAGTCAAGCCTTAAGGGGGCTGTAGTACTGGAAAGTGGCTGACAGAAGACACTGAGGGGATAGGCAAAAAGCCAACATGGACTCCCAGTCACCCGAGTCTTTATAGGAATGGCAACTCTTGTATTGGTTTCCAGGCCAGGAGCAGGGCAGCTGGTCCTCGAAAGCTCATTTCCAAGGAATGTTGGGCTGGATTGGGCTTAGAGAAGGGAGAGTATTAGGGTGGGGTTAGGATGGGTTGCCCAGCTCACCCTGCTTCCAACTTCTCAAATGGCTTAGTCCTTAAACTTGGGCTCTGCTGCTCTTCCTAGCTCACCCTTGGGCACACGTGCTATGTGTGTAGCGCACCCTCCATTAGGAATGTCTCTCTAAGACCAGGAGGCATAGTCTCTGCTCTGGGAGCTTACCATTCGGGGGGCCCAGTACACATAGACAAGGGATGCAGGGAGGAGAGGCAGGTGCAAACTAAGCCAGCAGTGAGGAAGTGCAGGCAGTCCTGGCTCTGAGATGGAAGCATTGAATACTCTCAGTGCACTGACCCTGGGACTCAGAAGGCTGCACCCACATTCCTTCCAGTTCTGTTCACAGCCAGGAGACAGCCTCTCAGAAGATGTGTATCCTTTTAATGCCTCATGCTCAGAAGTTCCTATCCTTTATTTGGTTCCAGGCTACTTTGATAATCTGAAAGCTTTACTTTTCTCAGAAAGATGCACATTCACACAAAGGTTTATAAATAATTCCAGGTGGTTTACAGGCTAGGAACTCTTGGCTCTTAATGCCTAGGAACTCCTAGCCTAGCTCTCAGCTACAATTAACCCCATAGGTCTGGCTGTCTCCTTTTGACAGAAGAGGAAAGAGCTGGAAAGGAGACCCAGGGCCTGTGATCTTTGAGATGCTTAGTTTTTGCACTTTGCAAGTCAGCTTGTTCTGAGTCTTTCAGAATGGGTAGGATCTATTAGGCAGACATGGGGAAATGATATTATAGCCCGGGGGAGTGTGTGAATCGTAAAGACATAAGAACATGTGCTCCCAAAGGGAAAGTAGTGAATATAGAGTGTATAAGGAGCCTTGGTGACCCAGTGATTAAGTGCTCGGCTGCTCACTGAAAGGTTGTTGTTTTGAATCCACCAGCTGCTCCAGCCGCCCTGCAGGAGAAAGATGTGACAATCTGCTTCCACAAAGATTTACAGTCTTGGAAGCCCTATGGGGTGGTTCTACTCTATCCTATAGGGTCACTATGAGTCGAAATGGACTCGACCACAATGGGTTTAAGAGGGAATAATGGAAAACAAAACTGGAAGTGTGAGTTAGAGTTAGATCCTGGGAGGCCCGGGTCATACAAAAGTTTGGATTTTCTCTCTTTTTTTTCCCCCAGTATTGTGTACTGTCTTACCCTTCACCAAAGTTACCACTTATCTGTTGTCTATTTAGTGTTTTTCCATCCTCACCCCTGTCCATCAAAGATTGTTTTTCTTTTTGCATGTAAACCTTTTCATGAGTTTTTGTAGTAGTGGTCTCACACAATATTTGTCCTTTCGTGATTGACTTATTTCACTCAGCATAATGCCCTCTACATTCATCCATGTTGTGAGATGCTTCGCAGATTCATCATTTTTCTTTATCATTG